TTTTTTTCAATTTCCAACAGAAAAGATGCTTGTAAGAAAACTAGGCACTGACTCAAAGCTATCCTTTAGACCATTATATTTCATAATCTCTTTCAAATAAGATTTTTTTTTGTTTATTCTACACACCCCAGCACTTTCGTATTACAAAGAATATTCTTTCCTTTCTGTGATAGACTCATGTTTTTTTAAGTCTGTTGGTATAAAATAGCCATAGCATCTAGAAATATTACTACAGACGTATAACAATGCTTTATAGTAATGTATACTTTTAGAATAAATAACGAATAATGCATCATTAGCAGATTAACAAATTATAACTATACACTTATTGAAAGCTGCTTAAGTAGGATTTGTATTTGACTCTGGTATTGTAGTTGGCACCTGTTTCTGCTAATAACATTTCCCTGCTTCTTATAAAACAGAGAGCAATATGTATTTATGACGATTTCATTGGCACACTGTATAATGCACTATACAATTTCCATTATCACAGCATGATAGAACATGCATTTTTTCCAGTTCACAATACATGGATAAATGTCCTTTTGGGATAGAAAACAAAGCTAGAATTCTTTTATGAAACAAAAGTGCCCAACATAATATTCTATGAAAATATCTTCTGTATTACAACTTTTTTCTGGCTTATTATTATTATAATATGGGTTTATTCGACTTTTGAAAATGTTGAAGTATTATTACTGTGTATTACTGTTTTATTATATGTATTCCATCATTTTAAGAAATTGACTTTTAAACATTTCTAAATAGAACAATGAAAAGATTCTGAATATTTACTAACTGATATCTTCTACGCTATTTGTTTTGGTATGCAAGTTTTTATTTCTAATTTTCAGACTGTTTGTGCTTCCATAACTTAACGGAGTGTGATTAAACAGAAAGATTAGAGAATAAGATAAGTAATGACATTTGACAAAGGGCTGACAAAGAATAAGCAGAGTAATAATAATGAAACTACAACTAACAAATATTGCTGAAATTATAGTGTATGAGGCAACATAATAACTATAAAAAACATTAAAACATTGGCAAATAACTTGGGAAGTAAAGGTAACAAATATAAAGTGCAGCAGGTGTCATTACTCAAATAATCAGGAAGAGAAGACAAAAGGAGAAAATGGCGTCTACTCAGAGAATGGCTTTCTTCATTTCTCTTCTCGCACATGGGGGTCTACAACTACCCTAATTTAATGGTAACATTTCCTATATGGACCTTGAGGTAGTCCAGATTAAAATAAATGTGCTTACGAGCTACAAGGGAGCAGTGAAACAGTATTAATTTTGGTCGACCAATACTTTTAGATAAATTTTAGTCGACTAAAAATTTTGAGATTTATTTGACTAAAACTAAAACACTTTTAAACTAATAG